GAACCCGCGAAATTTAACAATTCCCGTTATTTTCTGATCACACCTAGTATATTATTACTAGTTCAAAAGTAAAATTACGACCTCTATACTGTGGAGAGTATTGAAACGCTCGATTGACGAATACAAATCTATACCGTGGCGAGATTTAGAAAACTATATTCAAAGGTGGCGTTATCCATCCTATACACTATAATTTTCCGTTGGCTGTGTTATAACATTTTGGACAGAAAACTGATACTTGGTGTTATAAAACTATGAAGTATATTCTGCTGGTGCAAATCACATTATTACAACTATGCTAACCCAGTGAGCATTTTTTTGTCGCATTTGGGGAAAACTTCCGAAGTTGTGACATAGCTAGTGTCAATTTGCACACACTTGTTTCGAAACGACAACTGCTGTATGACAAATACGTTTCGAAACTGAAGCACCGTGACACAACACATCAAGGGATATACCTAGGAATTGTGTGTCCGACTGGGTCAACGACTGTTTAGTAATCAGTACTCAATTCCTATACTTTGACGTACACAATGCCCATCTAATGACGTATACGTGTTTAACACAATTCCCAAATTATTACTGCTAAGTCACAGTATACAGTATAAAGTAAAAGAAGACACAAAGTGGTAAATATAATATTAATTGTAACAGCTTTAACTTTATAAAACACAAAGTGCCCAACTATGGTAACAATAATATTAATAATGATATTCTTTTAACTTTAATGTTTCTATTTCATGGATGCATCACCATACTAAAGTATATACATATATAAATTTATTATAATGCAATAAATAAACTTAATAATTTAAAATGCCTAAAACAGTCGGAAAACCCAATTTTTCTTGCGACAAAAATTTTTTCCTGTAGTTTTTTGATGCTCTAATGAAATAGAGAGCACCCCTTTGTAAAAATAATAAATAACGAAAAAAAAATCGTATTTTCAAAAAAAAAAAAATATTTTTTACCCATATGTTTGTTATTATAGTTTTTTTGGGGTGGTTTATCAAAAAGGATGGTTATTTGTTAATAATTTCTTAATTTCGTTGTAAATATATGAGTTTAAGTATTTATTAAGTAATGGCTCTGATCATAGAATAATAAAGATGGCTACAGGAAACAAGATTCCCTGTTTGTGCCCTATTTGTGAAACCACACGCAGAGGAGGTATTGTGTGACCCATAAACTACTTCGTTGCAAACATGTTCTACCATTTGTCAATTATAACACAAATAAGACATTGTTTTAGTAAATGTGTCAATTATAGCGCAAAACAGGAATTGTTTCACGCAATACCGTGTTTACGCGCATGGCAATCATAACCTATAAAAACAATTGCTAACGTTAACGCAGTTTAGTTTTTCTATGGATTAAAAAGATGTTTACGCTGGTCACTACCTTAGTGCCGGATGAATGGATTAAAAATAATTAACACAGTTTTCCTCAGGACAAGAACAGGGGTCGGCCCTTAGCCTCTCTACCTCCCATCTTAGTAAATGTTTCGGCCAATATAATAAATTATAATTTATTATATTGGCCGAAACATTTACTAAGATGGGAGGTAGAGAGGCTAAGGGCCGACCCCTGTTCTTGTCCTGAGGAAAACTGTGTTCCTCAGGAGTGTAATGTTAAAGTGAGAAGAATTAAAACCTTTTAAAAAATAGTGTAATTTATGTTATATTAACTTTACAAATAAGGAATCGCACATCACACAATTACTACAATGGTTATAAAATTATTTCTTGCGACTACACAGTGTTTTAACAGTTAAAATGCCTATATTGTTTCACAAACAAATCGTAGGTTTCAATCTGGGAAAATTTTAGGTTTAATTCCTACTTTATTTCATACCAAAGTTACCTGTGTGGCTATATGAACACAATGCCTACAGTTTGTTACACTTTACTTTCCACAGATCCCTTTTTGCGACCATGATGGACACATATATATATGTGTATACACATTAAGGTAACAGTTTTACACAAATCCTTGGTTGCGTCATACATCAAATGGTCGTAAGGAACTGCGACTCGTGTGTATACACAAGTCCTATATTGTGTACTCTATACACAATTCCTCTCTGGTGTCAGGAAGTCATGGTGTCATGACGTCACTGTGTATTTTTTAACACAAAACAAGGTCTCTGCGACGTAACAGCAATGTCGCAATAGACACAATTCCATTTTAGGAATAAAATGCTCACTGGGAATATAATTTGAAGATATTTCAACTGTATCGTAGTAGATTTAGTTATTTTAACGTAATTGCCACTCATTTGAAGTTGCGATATAAGTTTTCGTCACTATAATGCTACTTGGGACATGTGAGGTAGATTTTAACCCATGGAAATATTTTACAATTTCTTTTAAATATAACGGAATGAGTAAATGCAATGAAAATTTGATTTCACTAATTAACTTCTTTATTTCTTAAAGATGCGTCTGTAAATGGGGACACGTCTGGAATAAAGAGTTAAAAAGATGTGAAGCAAGTTCGGCTTTATCTTCAATCAAACTACTTAGCAAGAAGCACAAACTTGAACAAAAACAAGAAGTTGAAGAAGAACCTTCTTCAATTGTTGGAAGGTTAAAGTTGTGGTTTAAAAAGTTATTTAAAATAAAATAAATTAATATTTTTTCTCTCTTTGATTTCATTTTGGTTTAGTAATTAAAATTGATAAAAATTGTTAAAGCATTCTATTAAAAAGATAATGAGTTTCATTTTATCCCATCAGACTTTGTAATATTGCTAATATTAAACCGAAGTAAGGTAATAAATTACCATCAGCCAAGATTTTAACATGGAAAAAATCTCAATTTAGGTTAGCATTGAAAGTCAAGTTTATAAGACGGTTCATTAAGGTAGAGTCGTGGCAGACAAAGGCCGGACCGAATTTATCACCTTGGGATTTATCAGAGGGAATTGCAGATGAGACAGTTTACTGGCAGTTACCTGCTTTCGGTTACACGAGCCGAAGGTTCTTTATCAAGCTGCATGGCCCGATTCCAAAACGATTTAACTCGATGAAAAACACAAAACCAAAGTCAGTGGCGGAAGCAACGTGTTGCCCCAAATAATTGTATCCCCTATACACGCTTGAATGTATACAGTGCGCACGAATAAAGCTATCGACATCGCACAAAAACCATTGTTAAGGATATGAAGTATACTACTTTTTGACGTCATATTGATATGTGCCTATTTAAGAAGCGCCAAGAGGGCAGTATCAACTTTGAGCCTTTGAGTTTTTCAAACTAATATTTCTTGCCAAATTACCAAAAATATGTATCACCATTTAATTTTTGTTTCCACTTTTTTGTTTTGTTTTGTAGAAAACACGTACGAGGTGTGTTCAGAAAATATCGGGAATTTTCGTTTTTTGAAACAATTATTTATTTATTCGTCTACATTAATGTTGTCGCCTTCAAAATAGTCCCCATTGGATATTATGCACATGTGCCAGCTCTTCTTCCAATGCTCGAAACACTTCTAAAACTCGATCTTTGGGATAGCCTTTAGTTCTTTCAGCGATGCGCTTTTAATGTCATCTATGCTTGCAAAACGACGGCCCTTTAAGGTCCTCTTTATTTTTGGGAATAGGAAAAAGTCAGACAGAGGCATGTCTGGCAAATATGGAGGCTGGGGCATCATTACAGTATTGTTTTTGGTCAAAAACGTTGTTCAAAATTTAACAATTTTAGATCAAATTTTGCTGCCACGCGTTTCATACCCAAAGCATTCGAAAAAATTTCATGGGATGAGCCAATCGATATACCAACATCATCAGCGACTTCTCTGATGGTTTATAACCATTTCTTTAACTTTTTCCATGTTTTTATCGGTTGTTAATGCGCTTGTGCGTTCGGGGCGTTCGTCATCTTCAACGTCTTCACGGCCATCTTGGAAACTCTTATACCACTTGTAAACTCTTGTTTTACTTATAGCAGACTCACCATAGGCATTTCTTAACATTTCACAGAATTTATTTCATTTTTTAAGCAAAATCGGATACAAATTCTTTGATCCATTTCTTTTAACGAACGAAAAATCGCCGAGCTCATAAAACACGTCTAACCTTAGCGGTTGCGACAGACAAAGTAAACAATGAAAAAGCTAAAGTTTTTATCATACTTCGGGGGCATGTATACCAACATAATAAAGAAAATTTTACCCTCGGACCTTCCGAACCCGCGAAATTGAACAATTCCCGTTATTTTCTGAACACACCTCGTACCAACGTACATAAATGAACTCAAAAATAACATACACACAATTAAATAACACACCATTCTGATATCATCAAATTATAAAGTAATTTGGTACAATATAATTATTAGTACTACTACAACACTTACACATGTATTTCGTAACTTTAACCCACTTCACTTTATCTCCTAATTTCAGTTTGAAAACCAGTGATGGCATTTTTGTTGGATACTTCGGACTTATTCACAATTCTTAATAACAGATTTCTGGTAATATATTATAAACAGTCTGTACAGTTGTTAAGAACACGTTACGAATTAAAATAAAGTAAGCAGAAACATAAGTTGCAGACGCTGAAGTCAGATGAACTTGTTGATGCGTATTGTCAGTGAGAAATGTTTTGATTGACTGTCTGAAATCAAGAAATAATCTGTTACCTTTGAAATTATTAAAATGCATACAAAATTGCATATTACCTTTACAAAACTTTCGGTAAAATATTTCCCTTTGTTAAAATAATTAAAGTAAATAATAAGTAAAGAATTTTTAAAATCCCTATTCTAAATTTGTCTTGTGCAAGAGTAAAGTACAGTTTATTTATTTTATATTATTTCCTCTCTTAATTATATTTTTTTATCCGATTTGTTACTTGTCTTATATTCTTGTCTAGTTGGGTAACTAATAGAAACCGATCGTTTTGTCAATAATAATCCCCGTGCGGGACACAGCGCGCTGCCTAAAGAGAAGAAGTAGGATTAGGACGTTCGCTATAGCGATCTAGTTTCTGCGAAGCGTACGTCGTCGTTGACAGATAATAAAAAGTCCTTTCCTCTCGGGCAAGATGGATTGTCTGGCCGGCAATGTCAAAACGTCGGATTTTTATCAGACAAACGGTTTGCCGAAGCGTTTCGAGAATCCCGGCTGGTTTTACGGATATGGTACTCACAGACGCCCTCAGCCGCATCCTTTTTACAACACCACCAGCAGCGAGTATGGGCGGTAAGCGATTTTTCTCAAATATGTCATCCACCCATAAACGTTTTTGTTTAATTTTGCTTTTATAAAAACAATGCTTACATAGACAAGCTATTTGGTTAGCTTTTTGGAAATATATGGGGCGATCCACGCCAAATCGGATGGTTTAAAATTTTTTTTTTGATTCCTCCTATTTTTTTATATTTTTTAGTACCTACTCCTTAAAAGAGCTTCCTCAGTAAATTTTTAGATTTTTTTTATCACGGGTTCAAAAGATATTAAATTTTCAAAATTAAAAAAAAAAAAATTCTCTAAAAATTATTATATTATTATATGTATAAGAAAAAAATAGTAATTATGGAAGGCCCACTACCGGACCAGGCTGAATAGTTGAATAGATAGAAGTTGAAAATAAAATTTTTTCGCGAAAATCGAAGAAGACACATTTTTAAAAACACGATTTAAACTTTAAAACTCAAAAATCTTGACTTAAAACGCTTAAAATATTTTCAATTAATTTTTTTCGAAAAGTACATTTAAAAACGAAAATTTTATATAGAATGAACATTTTCATTTGGACCATTTTTTAAGAAGTTATGAGCGAAAACAAAAAAAAAAGCAGTTTTTTAGAAATTTGATATCTTTTGAACAGGTGATCAATAAAATCTCAAAATTTACTAAGAAAGCTCTTATTAAAAAAATATTTTTGAAACCCTCCGATTTGGCGTGGAATGCCCCATATATAAATGTATTAAATAAATAAATAAAGTAGAATTATATCAGGGGGCCAATTGCTGTATTTGAAATTGGAGTTTAAACTCCCAATATTTTTTATTGTATGTATTATTCACATTTAAACACTAAAAAAATATTTGTCAATTTTTACCAAATATTAACCAGATTTTATCTTAATCCAGGTCCACATAACTTTATGTTAAGTTTACAACCAACTGTAATCTGTTAACTAATTAAATAAGTAGTTTGTAATTATAAGTTATAATTTATAACAAACATTTTGTAGATTTAATAACAAAATTCAACCATAATTCTTGTAATTTTCAAAAAGGACCTTATTTTTACAAACCTTTTGGTAGACCCAGTAACAAAAGTATTTGTTAAAAATTGTGAACTTAAATAAAAATAATGTTGATAAGTAATGTTGCTTTATTAATTAATTTCTAAACAAAAAAATTAACACTTACCTACATAAATGAAAACAAAAATAATATACACACAATTAAATAACACACCATTCTGAAATAATCAAATCAAAGTTTGGTACAATATAATTATAAGTATTACTACAACACTTACTTATTTTGTAACTTTAACCCACTTCATGAAATTAGGGGATACAGTGCACTGTATCCCCTAATTTCAATTTAAAAAACAGTGATGGCATCTTTTTTCGAATACTTCGCACTTCGCACACTCTTTAAATAAGTATAAGGAATCCGAATAACAATATTAACAGATTTCTGGTAATATATTATTAACACTGGACAGTTGTTACAAACACGTTACGAATTAGAATATACGAGTAGTACCTAAGCAGAAACATAAGTTGCAGACGCTAAAGTCAGTTGAACTTGTTGATGCGTATTATCAGTGGGAAATATTTTGATTGACTGCCTGAAATCACGTGTACTTTTTTAACAAAATAATTTGTTAAACATTATTAAAATAATCTGTCCCCTTTAAAATTTACAAAATGCTTACAGAATTGCATATTACCTTTCCAAAACTTTCGGTAAAATTATAAAAAATAAAATTAACAAACATGAGTTTGTTTTAACAAATTTAATTTTTATATAACAGTGTAACATTTTTTGTAAAAATATCATATCTTATATTATTGCCAAACTCTTTTTTCAAAAGAACTCTTTAATAGCGTATTTTTTAATTTCTGAAAACTACTCAAAATTTAGTAGTTTGCTGGGTTTAAATTTTTTTTGCAATCGTAGGTACGTAAATTATAAAAATGTATGTTTTAAAATACACTTAATGACATGATTTTTTTTTTGCAAAATTTGAAATTTATTTAACATTATTGAGTCAATCCATATAACAACGCCAAAACTCGTTGCTCAATCATCTTGGATTTTGCTCAAATTTTATAGAAATCTTTATTAAGGGTCCACCCTTAATTAATTTTTCGCAGGCGTTAAATCCGGCCCATTCAAATTAAAGTTTTAAATTTTAAGATGTCATTTTAATGCTAAAAGTGTAGTAGTTTTTATAAAAAAAATATACTCAACCAATATTTCTATAAAATTACACGGTGCTGAAAAAACGTGTATTTTACTAATTTTTCGTATATAAACAGTGAATTTTTTTCATAAATTAAGTTTACATACCAAAGACAAAATAAAACTTGATGAAATTGATGAAAATATCAATACAAGTTAAATAGGCATTTAAACTTCAGGGTAAGGACTTAATATCCTGTTAATTTCATATTTCTATATTGAAGTCAACATACTTATAAAATGGATGAAATAATGCGACTTTTTAATATTTCAATATTAAAGCTACTGTATAAGCTTCAAAGATAAAAATAACAAAACCAAACGACTAGGCATTTGAACATCAATGTAGGGACTAATTATCCTGTAAATTTCATAATTCTATTTGAAAGTCAACATCCTCATATAATGGCCTAAATAATGCATTTTCCAGAAATTCAAAATTTCAAGCATTTTTTTTTTGGAAACCGTATGCCAAATTGGTCAATTGTAAGTTTTATTTTGTCTTTGGTATGTAAACTTTATATATGAAAAAAATTAGCTGTTCATATTAAACAGCCGAGACATGGGAAGCATTTAAAAAACACGAAAAATTTGTAAAATACACGTTTTTTCAAAAATTAAATAAGAGTGGACTTGGTCCTTGGGGACCCTATTGAATATTTCTATAAAATTCAAGATGGTCGAGCAACGAGTTTCAATTTTTTCATGTACGATTGACTCTATTATTATAGTAAGTAAAGTACTAAAAAGATATTATTTAGTACGAACATTCAACAAATACTTCTTAATTTTTTTAAATTAATGCCCCAGCAAATTTTAATTATACAAGGTGTCCCCACACTTACAATTTATAGGTTTGCTATTTACATTTTAATAATGGACAACACTAGTATATTCATTTTACCAATTCATCAAAATAAACATTTTGAAACACAATGGAACCGTTTTGGCAAATAAAATAGTTTTTTATCATTGAAATGTAAATAGCTATTAAAATATTACTTTCAAAACTAGAAGTAATAAAAATAACAAGAATTGGGTCGCGATTATAGTTTGTTATTTTGTCATTTGTCTCTTGTCCTTTTAAACTGATAGCGACTGGGAAAATAAATTTTTATTGCAGCTGGTTTCTAAGCTGGCACTCGACGAGATCCCCTCCAAAATATATTTAGGGATATTAGTGTTTTAATAGGTAAGAGCTACACAAAACAATATCTATTTAACATATTATACAGTGAAATACATAAAGGGAGTCGTAGTTTTTGTTGAAAAAAATGCACAACTAAAAATAACAATCGGCGTGTCCAAGCGTTTTTTGGAGTACGACTGGCGTACTCCAAAAAACGCTTGGACACGTCGATTGTTATTTTTAGTTGCGCATTTTTTTCAACAAAAACTTTTTGTACAGAGTTTATCATAGCCAATACCAACTTTCTTATTTCAAATGCAATACCCTGTATATTATTAAAATTTTTGGATTCTTCAGAAAATTGCAGACATATTTTATGTACTATGTCCTATACCTAACACTTCACCCTTTATGTATTATCGAATTTATTCCATTTGGCTGATACACACCACAATCCACACAACAAGGTCTGTTCTATCTCGTACTAAAAATACAAAAAATCACTGCAACACTGCACAGTTTAACGGCGGCCATTTTTGTTGTTTACAATTTTTGTGCTTTGGGTTTGTGCTCTGTTTATACAGATTAATAATCGTTTTAAACGTTGTGTTTCTCATAGTAAGTCTTAAAAGAGTCCTTAAACTGCTAAGAACAACCATTTTACTCCTCTATTGTAAAAAATAAACTTTATTCTATCAGGGCTGTCATAAAACTGTCAAATGTCAATTTTAAGGTTAAATTATAACCCACAAATTAACCTTCAAATTTTCATTTGACAGCCCTGATAGAATAAGGTATATTTATTATAAAAGATGAGTAAAATGGTTGTCCTTAGCACCTAAAGGCCTTATTTGAGGCTTACAAGTGCCTCTGTAAGAAACACAACGTTTAAAACAATTATTAAACAGCACAAACGCAAAGCACAAGAATTGTAAACAACAAAAATGGCCGCCGTTAAACTCTGTGCAGTGTTGCAGTGATTTTTAGTATTTTTAGCATGAGATAGAACAGACCTTGTTTTGTGGATTGTGATACACACTGTATTTACTGAGCTTCTTTAGCAGCTTTTATGCAAAAAATATCCTAACATAAAAGAACAGTGTCGTAAGTAAAAACAAACATAAAATGTTTGGTAATTTTAACTTTTGAAGTATTTTTCATAAATCATTTAATTTCAGACATTTTAAGTCACTTTTCTTTTGAATGAGCGATACGTCGGGTTGGAGAAATCAGTCGAATTCTAAGCTATACAGGGTGTCCTGAAATTAGTGCACCATACTTTAACAGCAGATTCCACGTGCAAAAATAAGAAAAAAAGTCCCTATAAATATAGATCGAGAAATGCCTTCTAAGGGAGCTACAGCCCCCGAAAAGGGAGCCCCTGAATTTGGTTTTTATCTAATATTTATAAAAAAGTAGAAACACCCTGTCACTTACTACATGAAACTGTCACCTCGTGACCTTGGAATGACAAGGTTCTAAGTGCAGCTGCCCCGTTAAGCAAAAATGCCTTACCTGCAATAATTAATATTCTAGATAAGTCATTTTTGCTTAACGGCGCAACTGCACTTAGAACCTTGTCATTCCAAGGTCACGACCTGTCTTGAATTATTCTATTTTTTCCTAAACATGGCAGTCGTATTCCA